GGATCTCTAGCGCTTTTTTGAGGTGGAAGGAGCCTCCCTGGACGGCCCAGCTCCTCTCGCAGATACGTTACGCAGCGCCTCTCTCGGATATTGGTCAGAAGGTTGTACATAAAGCTATAGAAACTGTATCAATCGCAGATTTGGAGGACCAACTCTGCCTATTCTCCAAATGCTCAACGTATATCCACAATTCGTATAGAATGGTTTGCTCAATGGCATAGCTTCAAATATGGATAAGTGTGAATGAAAGAAATTTGGATAATTAGAGTGTAAGCAACTAGGAAAGGAGGGAGCGCAATCGTAATGAGTCGCGCCCCAGCCTCACTCTCGCCGCCCTCTCCCATGGACCGCTGCTGCAAAGGGGACCACCAACCTAGTCCCATCCAGCCAATATTACCACAATCTCTATAGTATCTCAAAATAGCCCAAATATCACTTTAGGTACTACAAGTGATCGGAAACGACCCCCAACAACTCCAACCTGTTCTAACCGGTCCAAGCTGTCTTGAAAACACCCCATCTCTGTTGGATTTAGCTCTCTCAATCAAACTTATAAAAGCAGAATCAACTTATACATTTGACCTCGAGCGCTTTCACGTCAAATCGTATGTGGCCTCGCGCTCGACCCAACGGGCCCAGGGCAAGGCCAGAATCATTAGCACTAGGTCTGTTTGAGCCCCTAATCCTTTTTCTTTCTCTTTTCTATATACTTATGCCATGCATGATCAGCACTTGACCTTGGAAATATTACATCTCCTTTGCCTCTCAACGGTGACGATAGCCAAACCTCGAGCCCGCTACTTCTGAGATCCATTGGAAAATACAATAGAAATGATTTGGAACTGACGTTGAATGATGATGGAAGCGTGCGGGCTGGCACCCTACCCGCTTTGATTCAGCGGCTTACTATGCATTCTGGAATTGGTATGTACAAGCACACCTTTATAATGGGAAATGATCATGAGAACCCTTTTTCTCATCAGATGAACAATTTGAGGAGACCTTCATCATGACCTTCAAAACCTTTGCTACCATTGACCAGGTGGTCGATAGGCTAGTGGAGCGTTACCATATTCAACCACCGGCACTCTTGGAACCAAAACAACTGCAGGAATGGAAAATTAACCAAGAGACTCCTATCCATCTGAGGTACTTTGGTCCTGTCTCTTAATTGGAGTTGGCCTCACAGGTATCTAGAGTAATAGATATCATTCGCAAGATTCTAAACACCATAGAACAAGAAGACATATATATCCTCGATAAACTCAAGCAATTCCTCGAACAAGCAACGGCAAGCGATCAGGTTGAGGTTAGAATGGCGGCTTGGTCAACCCTCCAGGAAAGCGTCAGTGCCATTCTAGCACAACTACCGAATTCTATCACCTCAACTTTAGTAGGTAACCTATACAGCCGAACCTCAGCGCACCATCTGGGACATACCCCTCGATGAACCTTTAACCCCAATATTACCCCGGACCGCTGAATGTCTAAGATTAATGGATATAGAGCCCTCGGATTTGGCTCAACAACTCACGATTATGGAGAGCGAATTGTTCTCCAGTATCAAGCCCAGTGAATGGATCGCTCAATTAACGGGCTCAACTTCGCCTTCTTATCACAACATCAAAGCCGTGGTCACGGTAACCAATAAGGTCATTATACACTTTTGATGTGTTACTGGTTCCTCAAACTGTTTTTCAGTTAACTGATTGGGTCGTGAACTCAATCATCGGCACAGAGGATTCAAGAAGACGAGCAAGAACAATAAAACATTTCATCAATACAGCTAATGCAAGTAAAAATAGTCCCGCTTTTGTGTAAGATGGCTAATTTTGCTCGGACAGGAGTGTCGTCATTTGTCCAATTTTTCCAGTATCGCTGCCCTCCTAGCCGGACTTAACAGCCCTGTGATATTGGGACTAAAACGAACATGGGAAGAAGTACAAGGACGCGAGAGAGCCATGTTAAACAATATGCGTGCAATTCTCGATGTTGAGAACCATTTCCAGGCTTACAGATATCTGCTTTCAGAGCTGCAGCCACCATGTGTCCCATTCCTCGGTGTCTACCTCGTAACACTCAACGGTTTTCGTGACAACATCAAAGACACGATTGAAGGAGGCGCCCTCATTAATTTCCAAAAGCAGGCGAAGATAGCCGATGTCCTTCGAGAGATCAACAAGATCCAGAAGCATCAGTACGACCTCACTTCCATCCCAGCTATCCAAGAGTTCCTCGAGAAGAACTTGGCAATCAAGAGAATTGATTGAAATACTGCGTTCTTAAATAGGGCAACGCGGCGATACTAAATTCAAATGAGCAAATGCCTTAAGACTATCGTTTGCACTGAGCCTTTCTATGGGTCAGCATCTTGCACCTTTAAGGATTATTTATGGAAAATCATTGTATTTAGTCAGTAATCAGGGGGATAGCGTAGCAACGCCATGCTAAACTAGATCTAAGAAGATCTGTAAAATCCGCCATCATAAGCGCCACCGTCGCGCCTCTGTTTGAAGCTATTACAAGGCACCACGAATACACATTCATAGATAGACACCCTCATATACTATTAACTGAAGAAATTGAAAGAACTTTCACCCTTAAGATCCTGGTCCATTCCTATCGACCTTCATTTTGTCTTATTGGGAAAGGGAGATACACGACTTACCTAATTACGAGCTAATGTACATCAAGAGTCACTTCTATGGATCTTACTCGACCGTCTATGAAGGTCTATGGAAAGGAAATTGGTGACTATTTCTACCACACAGGTGGTAAACCTGTCATAACCAGCGCCATATCATTTGTTGTGTTCGGATTTTGTGACACTCTATCAGAGCCGAATCGAGCAAAGAAAGGGACCAGTCAAGAGCGTGAAGGAATACAAACAAGTGTGAATTCTACAGATACTTGTATTATGGACGGTTCCGTCTCGCAAACGAAGGACTCAGACGTATCGCGCCATGAAATAGTATTTACAAATATCAAAAATCCTTTGAAGGGATCTTATTCGACTGTATATCAGGCTTTATGGATGGGAAGATCGGTTAGTATCTCATCGCCCTATTAACTACCTGAGTTAACATCAAGAGCAGGTTGCTATCAAAGTCATTTCAAGTATGACACCACTAAATGCACTCAAAGAGGCGAGTAGGAACTCCTTGATACAGCTACACTCATTCTAGGTGCTTATTAGAAATTCGAGCGTGAAGGTGCAATATGGGCAACCCTAAACCACACCAATATTCTGTCGTTGCTGTTATTCATAGAGGACGAAGATTTATTTCAACCATGATGCCCAACAACAAGGAGAAACTCGATAGCGAACCATTTCTTGGTGGGATAATTTGAATGAGAAACTGATAATTATCCCATTATACCCTCTATTTTACGTCTTAATCATCATGTGACCAACTCGATTCGCCTTCCTAGCCACAAGACCATGTCCTGAGTGTCCCAAATAAAATGGTGAAGAAAATAGGAAGGAAACTCACCATATGCTTGGTCCTCTCTCTTGACGTCTTCCACTTCTACCCTTCTCTCCGTCGCCTTGTGAACTGGTGATCAACTTACCTCGGCAAGACTTCTCCCATCATATACATCCGGTTCATGTTTTGGTGGAGGTTCTTGTCCGATATGTGCATATGCAGCCTTCCTCACCTCCTCTCGTTTGGCATTCGTTGACCCAATTTCTTGTTGGGACACGAAGCGCGACGGCAAAATCGAGTCAGCCATGAGTAATAATCAATCTAGGACTATTATCTCAATTATTGTGAAAAGTTTCTGTCTGTAGCTAAAGGCCAGTAGACACGGGCTTCCAAGAGATGCCTAAAATGGTCAAGAGCCGAATTCAAGAATCACGTTTGACCCTGCCTTCACCAGAACCTTGCAACCCTCCTAGAGAATTCAGGATGCTTATCAAAGTCAAGGTGAGATCCAAATTCCTCTGTTTCATCCACTTTCAGCTATTCGATGTGGCCAAAGGGCCGACTGATCACAGTAAATTAGACAGCAACGGGCAAAGAGGTATCTCATTCCAGTCAAAGAAGCGGCAAATCTTGATGACATGGTTATTAGATCGCGCTTGATATGGATCAATATGACAAAGTATGTCACGCCAGTTACCTCCCGCTACTGAAACGTTGTTGATGGAGTGAACCCTTTCATCCTTAAATGATAAATATTTGAATGAAACTGCCCTACGCACACTGTTTCGTCCTTTTATCTCTAGATCACTCGCATCAAGGAGAAAGTAGAAGAACAATCCGGCGTTGCTCAACAACAACAGAGGTTGATTTTCTCGGGGCGTCAATTGTAAGCTTCATGAATATATCTCTTACTCCATGTGCTTGACTAGCCTATTTTCAGGGCGGATGATACGACGGCGAAAGACGCTGGCCTTACGGCTGGGAGTATCGTTCACTTGGTCGTTAGAAGCTAGGCTCTGTTTGTTGTTCACACCACTGTAATTACTGCATATCATGTCCTCAATAGACCGGGTAACCCTTTTTCGGCTATTTGAATTGGTATTTACTTCTGCTCTTTCGCATTACCAAGGA